ATCAATGCACTGAAATTCAGTGTCTGTAGTAAACACTTTATTTTAAATGAACTGCTTGATAATAAAACTTATTTTATTATCCAATTTCTGTCAAGAGTTGTTAATCTTACCAAATATCACAGTTTGTTTATTTACTGACGAAGGAATGAAAAGTGTCACCAATAGATTGTTAAAGCTTAAGATGAGACTTTTTTTATTGGTATTTAAGGGAAACATTTATCCATTTAAAGACTGTTGTAGATTTTTAATCTTTTCCCTCTATTAGACATTGTAGCATCGTTTTGTAGGTATTAATAATGTTACGAGTAATCCAACTCACATGCTGCAAATTTATTAATTTGATTACGATTAAAATGATAAAATAAAGTAAGTTTATATATCCAGTATTTTGTTTCTTTTCTTTTGGTAATGATATATCAACTTGGTTAAGGTTTTTTGTAATGTCAAGGGGCATATGTAAATCAAAGTGTTAATCTTTCTCCATTTATCAGCTCATATTATCGGCTGTTGTCAAGGCGCACGCCACATCCAATAGAAATAATTTGTACACATGACACATATGTGTATTATGTGTATTACTAAACAATTAAATAATAATTCTAAGTGTTTTGCCTGCAGTTGGACAGAGATCCTTAAAGTCTTCCTCATGACATGAAAACAGTTATAGGATTAAAAACACATTATGTCATTGATCTGTTCCACATATAGCATTTTATGTTGGACCGATGGAAAAACTGAATCAAAACCTCAGTTGCAATGTTTTACGATATATTCAATGAATGAGGTAAGGCCTTTTTAATATCAACTATTTTTGTATTTAGATACGCCCATGACAATATACAATTGTTTCATGGCTATTTGGCGAACAGTCAAAACTATCATCCCGAGGTAGGGGGAAGCCCTGGGGAACTGTTTGCCCGAGGCCGCTAGGGATGATAGTTTTGACTGTTCCCAAAATAACCATGAAACAATTGTTTTATTACCAAATAAATATTAGTATCAATGCTGCATGCAATGTTTCCATTGCATCAACACTGAGTCGCGGTCACCGAAACGCTTGAACGGGGCTCTCGAGGGGGGATTTCTGCGCATCGAATTCGCGCCGGATAACAGTTCGCTCTGACCGGGAAAACAGTTTTGACTGTTTCACCCCTACAGCCAAAATTGGACAAAAGGCCAGAAACAGTCAAAAATGACTAATTATAATTTATATAGACTATTGGGTAATAAATGATAATAGCAAACTTTAGAAACTCAATATTTCCCCTTTCACATTTCAGGACAGAGCATGCCATTTGCGGAAGGGAGATCTGTGTAACGTTATGACCTGCAATGATGAGAACGGAAAGACGTTTATCAGTACATCATACGCTTCTGATAGATCAATATGTTTCTTTCGTTGTGACAATGAAACATTTTCAACAAGGAAATTATGCACTGACGGGCAATGGTCAATCTATAAAAGAAATGGTACACTGTACACTTGTATTTATAAAGCCTGGGGATAAAAAAGAAAAGCTTATGTCGTTATGAAAAAAAATTGATAGAATAATAAAGTCTCAGAAGATTTCTGCAACTTTGCAAGCAAACGGTGCTTAATTATTCGATGATTGTTTTACGCAAATATTATTGGCCCTGCTATTGGACTAACATAACATAACCTCGTAGCTGTAGTTTTGAATTAATTATGATAGGGTTTGCACGAATTACTTAATTAAGTATAAATTATCATATGTACCTTAAAATGATAAATTGTAACTAAATAAATGGTTTTGTAGGCAACTTTTCCTTTTCAGTATTCTACGTAAGCTTCGGAACACTTTAGATTGCGAGACAATTGCACAAATGTTTAAATGAACATCATATTTGGGCTGATGAAAACGGTTGCAAATTTTTCAAATCCAAAACGGTATGCATGCATTTTTGTCAATAACGTTTAAACCTTAACGATCCAGACCTTAAACTTGATGGCATACCCAGTCCCGTCGTTAATCATTAGTAGTAAATATCTTGGCGTTATATCTTATAGAAAAGTATTGTTCCTTGCTTTTACAAAGCGTATTAAGGCGAAACGCATTAAAGCGCTTCATTTTCTGAAGTTAGTGTACTGTAATGACTGATAGGAAGGCATATGAGTTAATAGAGAACTTTTCAGATCTAAAATGATATATTGATCCACAACCCTGCAGGTTGGGGATCGAGAAAAGAATACACAAACTGTTACCTGCTGCATGTATCGTAAGAGGCGAGTAAACCCCCTGCAGAATTGGAAATTTGCTTTTGTGTCCTTTATTTTATTATACAAAAGCGACAAAACTTAATCTACTGCATCCATTGCAATATTTGGGATCTATATCTTTCTCTCTACCTCTACTTGCCTTTGATTTCCTAGCACCTTGCTTGGCAACACCTCACTTTTGACTTTAATGTTGAGCGTTCGCCCAGGTAAGGAAGGCAATGGGTTCTGTCCCGTGGCCGGGACATACCAAAGTCCTTAAAAATGGTCGTTGTTATTCGCTGCATCGCGTTCAGCATTTAGGGGAATGGCAAAAACTGGTTTAACCGTTCTGTATAATGTGACCGGGCGGGATGATCTGCTTGGAGCCTTAGGCATTTCATTTCAGTTAGATAGCACTACAAAGTTGGCAACAGATCCGCGCTTTTACAAGGAGACAATAACATCAACATACCCTGCCTCCAGCACACATACACACGTGCACAAATACACAACACACATGGAGACACGTCCTTAAATGACATAAGCTGTCAATAGGTCGTTAAACAAAATCAAACCAAACCTATTGATCCATTGTTTATGGATCCGCGCGAAAATCACATCTAAAAATACTGGATACCGTACCTCATCAAAGTCTGAGACTTGTACTTGTGAGCTTTCAAATCCAACCCTGTTGCAAGTCTTGAAAGCAAATTATTCATCGTCATACAATCGTAAAGAGAAACTATTATCGAAACATTTGCTTTAACAAGAATGAAATCCTTTAAATCCAGCTCGAAATAAAAAAAAAGAATCCTTCCAAGCTGTATTCCATTGAAAATCAAAATCAACACATTAAGATATATTGGTATTTTCTCCGTACCTTTTGTGTGCCTGAGATTGTTTTTACTTCATGGGACTGTTAAATATGACACTGAATATAAAGCGCTTCATTCGTCTTTGACGAAGCTGCAGTTAAAAAAATCGTTCAATCATTTTATACCGATGGTTCGAAAGATCGTCATAAGCTCGCCGCAGCCGTTGCAAAAATGCTGTCACTAGGTGAATGATGAACCTAGATAAAATATCTATTCTGATTCCCTTTCTTTTCTAAACAGCTTTCTTAAGAAAAAAGGGAGTTAAGTATCTATTAGTAATATATATGAACATTATGACTTGGTGCCGGTATTCTCTCTAAATAATATATTGCATTATGCTGGATTCCCGGCCATTTGCGAATTCAAGGTAACAAAAGGCAGATCTTGCCACCAACGCGGTTTTATTGCAATCATCTGTTGATTTTAAGCTTAATTTTTACAGATTTTTTAACCATTTTGAACGAAGTTTGTGATTTCACAGATGTAAATTAATTGGAATCAATGCTTGCGTATTCAACAAAATAAACTCTATAAAACCTGTAATCTGTGAAACGTGTCCTAGCTACAGTAACAAGTTTATGAAAGGCGAATACCAACTTTAATGCATAACATGTCACGAACCATTACAAAGTACTCCGTGGTTTTTCGCTATGTAACGTCTATATATTTAAAAGGTATTTCTTTGAATATTTTACAGTTATAATAACATGTTAAAGTTTCTGATATAATGAAAATCTATATATTTTTCCATAAATGTATTGTGTTATTATTATATGAGATTTTGTTTGAAATAGGTATGGGAAGTTCAAATGGAATGCAGCAGGCATCGGTACGAGCGAGAAGAGGATTTTGGAAAGATGTAGGACATGTGGTTGTTTGCTTGGTGACATTTGGCCAAATATGTGGTGGACGGAACAGTAAGTTATACATAACCTATACACTTTTATTCCGGCAAAAAAAAATGATATCGATCAACAACTTCCTGTTTATGTAATACGAATATGCACTGTCATGTGATCTACTTTTGCGTCGAGAGCAACTTAATCCAGAAAGTTATAATATATAATGGTGCAAAACATATTAAAAAAACCATATATACATTTTTAGTTAGAATACTTTTAATTCAGCGTTCAGCTATACGAGAGTGTTTACATGTATATTTACCTTGAGAGAGAGCTGCCTTTAAAGATCAAGGTCGCTGTGACTGTGAAAAGAGTTTCACCGTCACACTTCTTGCCATGAGTATAGCGATTGCATTTCTTGACAAATTGTTTTCACATGTTAAAAGTCGCTGTCACTAGTGATATAATTTCACCGTTACATTTTTATATGATAATCCACTGGAATAATGGCCATACGATACAAACAAAACGTATCGATTTCTAAAAATTGAAAACCAGATTACACTTTAATGTTGAGCGTTCGCCCAGGTGAGGAAGGCAATGGGTTCTGTCGCGTGGCGGGGACATACCAAAGTTCTTAAAAATGGTCGTTGTTATTCTCTGCATCGCGTTCAGAATTAAGGAAATTGCAACAACTGGTTTAACCGTTCTGTATAATGTTACCGGGCGGGATGATGTGCTTGGAGCCTTAGGCATTGCATTTCAGTTAGATAGCACTACAAAGTTGGCAACAGATCCGCGCTATAACAAGGAGGCAATAACACCAACATACCCTGCCTCCAGCACACATACACACGTGCACACATACACAACACACATGGAGACACGTCCTTAAATGACATTAGCTGTCAATAGGTCGTTAAACAAAATCAAACCAAACCTATTGATCCATTGTTTATGGATCCGCGCGAAAATCACATCTAAAAATACTGGATACCGTACCTCATCAAAGTCTGAGACTTGTACTTGTGAGCTTTCAAATCCAACCCTGTTGCAAGTCTTAACATGAAAGCAAATTATTCATCGTCATACAATCGTAAAGAGAAACTATCATCGAAACATTTGCTTTAACAAGAATGAAATCCTTTAAATCCAGCTCGAAATAAAAAAAAAAATCCTTCCAAGCTGTATTCCATTGAAAATCAAAATCAACACATTAAGATATATTGGTATTTTCTCCGTACCTTTTGTGTGCCTGAGATTGTTTTTACTTCATGGGACTGTTAAATATGACACTGAATATAAAGCGCTTCATTCGTCTTTGACGAAGCTGCAGTTAAAAAAATCGTTCAATCATTTTATACCGATGGTTCGAAAGATCGTCATAAGAACAGCTTTCTTAAGAAAAAAGGGAGTTAAGTATCTATTAGTAATATATATGAACATTATGACTTGGTGCCGGTATTCTCTCTAAATAATATATTGCATTATGCTGGATTCCCGGCCATTTGCGAATTCAAGGTAACAAAAGGCAGATCTTGCCACCGACGCGGTTACATTATAATATGATAGTCCACTGGAATAATGACCATACGATACAAACACAACGTATCGATTTCTAAAAATTGAAAACCAGATTACACTATTTCTATATATTTGTTGGTATGTACATATTCGTATTTATTTAATGATCAGTATACAAAAGAAAATATCGTATATCAATAGGAGACAAGGTCCGTCCAGCCCTTCAGTGTCCTCCAGATCAACAGAAATTATCAGATGATTTACAAGATCACGCCACGGTTACTTGGAATGAACCTAAAGCGATAGATGATAGGGACGGTGAGATTACGTAAGTGTTGACGAAGGAATAGAACATAAATATAAACGTAAACACACTTGTTTGCTTTTAGAAGTACACATACAAAAACTCGTTATTTAGGAAGATTGCTGTAGATAGTGCCATAGGTAATCACCATCTTACAAATACATATATATATTAATTCAATTTCAACGCATTATTAACTACTAAAAAGCATCGAATCGTCTTTTTGTTTTTACCAAACAAGCTGGAATATTTCGTTAAAAAGAAACATAGCTATAAGAAGGCATGCAAATAACGTAAAAAAGGTTATGCTATAACACTCTAACTGAAAAAATGTAATTGCAGCCCGACACGCCAGGGCCTTGGACCAGGTTATATATTTTCAGAGGGGATAACTGTTATAGGATATTACGCACGTGACAACAGTGGAAATATGGCAAGGTGCACTTTCAAAATCAACATTACAGGTAATCATTTCACCTTTCAGGAATGATTGAAATTGCAAGTACTCTATGTAATCGTAGTATTAACCAAACCTTCTTAGCATGCATTCAGTTTTTAGCTTCAACACAAATTGCTCTAATGGTGTGATGTACTTTTCTAATTAAGTATGAATTTATTGTCACGTTTTTTGTTTGTGTTCCATGACTTATTACTCTATTTCTTTTAGTACCGCGATGCCGGAACCTCGGTGCTTTGAAGGATGGCTATTCCATCTGCCACACCAGTTTTGACATGCGAAAAGGCACTGTTTGTCAATTCGGCTGTTATGATGGTCATACTCTCGTAGGGAGTTCATCTACTATGTGTACACAACATGGAACATGGACAACAGGACTGCCCAAATGTGACAGTTAGTGATTCTAACGAACAAGCATGCTATTTGCAACAGAATCAACGACTTAAAACAACATTTTTTCTAAAAATAAATAAAATAAAAATTCGATATGATAATGCAGCAAACGTTGTCTTTCTAAAACAATAAGACACCCGTAGTTTTTTAAACTTCTTGAATTGGCAATCAAATGTGAAATGAGTTGAACTTATTTTATTACGATGCGTCTGTGAGTAGACTAATCACTTACGTATACCACAAGTGAAAATGAATGTTAGTACACATATAGTTCTCTTTTGATATACATTCGTTTTAAAATACACTTATTATTATAAATAATATAAAAGGTGTAAAAAATGTTTTCGTACCAAGTGATTAAACTATCATGGTATTTTACTATTGATTGATACTTGCAAAGTTTGTTTTACCCGTACACATTAATATTAATGATATTGTATTTTTAGAGGGTATAGATCATTTAGCAAACAATAAAGGTCAATCTCACTTGATGCACTCTTTACAAAGTAAATAACAAAGATGAATATAAAATACAAAACAATCAATAATCAACATGTTTTCCATTATATACATATAGTACAGAAGTATGTAAAGATGATTAGCTAGATATTTGTTTAAATATTTTTTCTGTGAATTCATAAAGATTGCTGGCAGTCCTAATTTAAATAGAAAGTCAGTTCCATATTTCATGTTAAAAATAAATGAAAGTTTGTTAAAGAGTATTTACTTTAGGTTTTGGTAACTGCAAGTTGGCATTTCCAGCTGATCTTGGAGCATGAGTATTATTTCTATAGTTGCATGCAATTTCTGTGTATGTTGAATATTTTTAGAAATAACTGCGTGCAAACGGAGCTAGTATTGGAAAACACCTGACTAGAGAGATATCCGATAATCATAAATTTGTTGTGATGTTATGTAGCAGTGATATCCTTTAAAACATTTTGATATTGATAAGCAATTTTGGACTTTTAAAGGAACAACTTGTGACCCGCCGTTAACTGCAACCGGTGAAGCATCTGTGCAATGCTCCGACAACAACTTCTACCGCAGTAAATGTTCTTACATCTGCGCCGAGGGGTTCGATGTGACACCAGGTATGACACGGGTACGAGTGTGTACCGTTCATGGAACATGGAGAGGGAAGGAACCAAAATGTACAGGTATCCACTATTAACTCCCAAAGCTTTTAATTTCGATTGTGTGTAGTTACATTTCTAATAGTTTCACTACTCTAAACTTTCTTTTCGGTGGTGTCGTCTTAGGCACGTCAAACCCCTATCTTCTATTAAGTTAAATTTTCTATTTATTATGATTACTGTGAAATTTTATCTTGATGATATTAATTGGGGACATCGGCATGTTTGGGATAAAGAAATTTATAATGTTTTTCCTCACACTTCAAAATGTAATGTTCTGAATCCAAGCTGTTCACTCGGTAATATTGTTTTATCAAGGATAGGACAAAAGCAATGAATTTGCTTAAGCAGCTGATCATAGGTTTAAATTCACTAAACTACACATATACATTATTCTCCTTTAAACCTACGGAATGGTAAAATATATTTCATTTACATTTTCGCTTCTCTTCAGATATTACCCGACCATTGATAAGAAACTGTACCGGAGCTGTGTACGGTTTTGCTGAACGAGGAAGTACCACAGGGTGCTTGCATTGGACGGAACCATCAGTATTTGACAATGCTGATAAATCAATTAGACTGAGTCGCACGGGTCCAAGCAGTGATGCACGTCTAACTGCTGGCACTTATGACGTCAAGTATAATGCAGAAGATGAATCTGGAAACAAAGCGATTCAATGCACAATGAAAATTATTGTAAAGGGTAAATTGGTTTTGTTATTAGTGTTGTTTGAAGAGAAGGGCTAAGATTGTTCTGTTAGTTTTCTAATTGAAACATTGATAGTATTTGAAAGATTATCAAAAATGAACAAAATAAACTTGACTTTCTTCATTTAGTCCTCAGGTGTCCGACTGTCTACAGCCTTCCTCGTCAGACAGTACATTGTCCAAACGGATTTATATACGGATCTTATTGCAACTTTAAATGTGCTAATGGATCTCTGATCAATGGGACAGAAATAGCTACTTGTGAAAAGGGAAGTACAGGCCAATATGCTTCTTGGCGTTGGGGTAATACTCAGCCATTTTGTCAAGGTATGTATCAAGTTTAATGTATGTATCAAATGCATGCGTCGATTTTATTTCCACAGTATGTTATTTCAATCATCCATTTATTTATATAACAAGAAAAAACAGTTTAGCAAAAAAATCGTGGAAAACACCAAAATCAATACTATAATGAATCTAAACACTAAGTGCAATCTGCATCATCAAACTACTGTTTATGAAGACCCTTCCCAGTAGTCACTTCATACGATTATGTCAACTTTCCCCCTTGAAACAGGATATGATAAAACGCTGCAATTACATCGATAAAATTGAAAAAAACTTGTAAAAACATGTCATACACAAACAAATACAATGGGTGGGGGCAACATTATTAGAACCGGACCAAGAAGGGTGATTCGTTTTGCAAAAGTTTGTTTTGTTTCTAAATGTGTGAAGACATATAAAATGAAACAGGCTAAAGCTGCTAATGATTCCTGGTTTATTTGTTAATTTTAATATATAATACCACCACATGTTTTCAGCATTAAGTTTTAGGGAAAAGTTACAGTAACAAACACAAAATACCTTGATTTTTCTGTTAACGCTAGCTGTCCAGTTATGCGAGGATAATGTACTCCCTCCTGACTATGGCGCAATAGCATGTGACTATTGGTTAGGAGGAAAGTTCTGCCAAATGCTATGTAAAAAAGGATACGATATTCCACCGGGGTACACATTTCCGGAAATGATTGTGTGCAGCGAAACAGGACAGTGGTTGCCAACTTCAACTTTGCCTGACTGCGCAAGTATGCAGCCTATATAATTTAAGATTACTTACTGTATGGATCAATAATTAAAATCGTACTTAAACAGTAACGTCTCCCTTTGCCGTGAATATGTGTTTTTTGTTGGGTAAAAACAATGAATATTTCATATTCCATTGATATAGATTAAAGTCTTTAAAAGTAAAAGACTTCATATGTGTATACCTAAGCGTGTGTTGTGGTGGATTTAAAAATAAATGGTTTGGTTGCAGAAACGTTCAGCAGTCAGGCATCCTCTTTAGCTATGGACGTGCACTACTACTTTGAAGGAGATTGCAGTGACGCAAATGTTCTTACAAGTATCAAAGAGAAGTTCATTCAGGCGCTGATGACGTCTACATTTAGGGACGCATGTGAAGTTTATACTGAAAAATGCTATCCTGGAAACGTCCAGGTAAGGAAAGACAAGTATATCATTATCAACATCAAAAGTATATTATGCGTCCAATATTTTGGCATTTCGACATCAGTACAAGTCTCCTAACAAGTTAAACGTTACAATGGACGCTTTTTGTGTTCAGAAATTTTGTTTGCTGATAAAAAAATCACACAGAATATTAATGAAACAGAACAATTTCGTATCTCAACTTCTTCAATATCTTGAGATATGCCTGGAACACAATAAAAAACAAATCTGAGTAGTGACATGAAAAATGAAATGTATCCCATATAATCCTATATCATTTGGTTAACTAAACTCGTGATTGATAACTGTTTTGGTGCTGTTCAATATCAGCAATGTTTTTTCTCTTACTCAATAGGTCCAGTGTGGATCGCTATCAGGCAAGCGATCACTCTCTCTCAACGTAAAGTTTGACATGAAAATCGTTGGCAAATCTTCATTTGGAAACATGTCATTCGGTAGATTAAATGAAAATATAATGAAAGCAATAAACAAACATATGAACAATGACACCTTTGAACTATTGGACTTGCCCAATAATGAAACAATGAAAGTACAGGACTTCAGCCACGACTCTCTGCGTATCGTCTGCAATGAAAGAATGATTCCGTCATATTCCAGCGAATCTTGCAGTAGGTATCACTTTTTGAATGTGATAAACTTTGTGATACAGATTTATTGGCGAAAAATGAAATCAAATTGTTCTTCTGCGTCAATATCTTAATATTTCTATAAAACGAATAGAAAACGAGTTGAATGAAATTTACATTATCATTATATCCATGCATTCGTTTTAAGGATGCTGTTTTTTTTTTAAAAACAGTTGAGTGCCCTCCTGGTACATTTTATGACAGAGACACGCAGTCTTGTCCAATGTGTCCCGTTGGAGAGTTTCAACCTTCTGCTGCCAGTTCCGCTTGTATCCACTGTCCAACCGAGCAGACGACTCGTCAACAGGGTGCTACATCTATAAATGAATGTGAAGGTGAATAATATGGAATTGTATAAGATCTGTTAATGACATGACTGAGAGATGATCTCATTTTATCAATAAATAAATAAAAACAATTAACCTTTTTTTAAAATGTCGGTAAGTAACAAATGATCTTTTAAAGACGTTTTCAAACTCATTTTATTGAAAAGATGTTTGTTCATAAAATAAGTCTTCAATTAATAGATGCATGTTCACCAGGGACGTTTTCATATAATGGTTTACCTCCATGTACGCCATGTCCAGTGGGAATGTATGTAGACACGTATGGCACAGCCACATGTCGTGTCTGCCCGGCATCCTCAACGACAATAGCAGAGGGAACACATTTAAAGTCCGATTGTAAAGGTATTTTCACAATTATGTTGTCGTTATACTCGGGAGAAGCAATTTCTCAAGAAATGTCTTTGACACTTCTCTAGACTAAGAAAAAGTGCTATTTTTTGTATCATGGAACAAAATTTGATTTCATTGTATTCTGTTCGTGAAACATTTAAAACTTGTTCCAAATTTCATTTTAGAATTCGACATTGTCTTTACAAGCCCCGCAGGAAAAGTTGTCATGCCTTTCAAAAATGCCTCAATAGATGAACAACACATTTTCGCCATAAGCTTTTGGATTAACTCTCCAAATCATAAGCTTACTGGTTCTATCATTCAGTTAAACTTTCCAAATTCCAAAGAGCCTTTTGATATCAGCATTGACAACGACAGGCTAGCCGTTACTGGAAAAGGGTATGCATTATAAAATTATATAACATTACTGTTAGTATATTTCTTTTTGTGGACGTCTTTTTTTACAGTGCTTGGCTCTAAATGATTTAAGTTGTCGATAAGCAGTGGGACAGTATAAAACAAATCAATTTTGAAATAACATGGCACATAAACAAATTTATGGGATGAATAGTACTTTCATTTGCATTACCAATACTCAATAATTATAAATGTCTTACTTATCCTTTGCAGTGTTACAGTAAGCACAACATTTATGGTGAATGATACACTTTGGCATTCGATCGTACTTCATGTTGAAGAAAGTACTGTAGAAATATATAATGGCGGTGCAAAATCCAGTATTCAATACCGATCACAAGCAAGCATGGCTATTAAAAATATTCAGGAACCATACGTGGTTATATCAGGTAAGTATCTTACTCCAACGAAGTTTACTGTTGAAATCTGATATAAAATAAGAATAATAAAGGAGATATTACCAGTGTACATGAGTCTTATTTTAACGGAAAACATATATCATGTTAATCGTGCTAATATATTTTTCAATAAAGGACAATAAATCGACACTCTGCAGGAATGTGCTCAGATGCATAATGCTATCATGTACAATAAACAATAACACAGTAAAAATGTTTCTTTCGCTCTAGATGGAGATTTTATCGGCAGTATATCTCATCTTAATGTCTGGTCCAAGGGCATGAAACTAGAAAATATCCTTGAAATAAATTCCCGGTGTGATATCGTGTATCATGGAGATCTTCTTGCCTGGAAGGAGTTTGAATCTGTTGACGGTGACGATGTATTCGTACAGATTCCAAGTGAATGTGATGGTAAATATAAAAGGTTGATCACGTGATAGGGTACACCCCATTCCCTTTCGTTGAAAAGACGTTATTGAAAGTAGTCCTCCCTAATATGTTTCTATGATTTAGGAATATTTTTCATAAAGAACTAATCTTTGTCGAAAAAAACCCAACATTTGTCTCCGCTCAAGGTCATTTTACACGACGGATCAATGATCATTTCTTAGTAATAGTTATAGACTTTGGGTCCAACTTTTCTCTAGATACTCTTGGTTATCCAACCATCGAGTAATAAACTACCTTACATATTTATGTTTATTATTTATTTGTGAGGGTTGATCGTGAAACCATCGTTTATTGTTGTTTGAAAATTGATTCAGATCAGAACGACTGTGATGTGAACTCGTGCAACGGTGGAATATGTAAGGATGAACTCCATGCGTACAGCTGTGTCTGTCCTGTAGGCTTAAGCGGTGACAAGTGCGAAATTAATATAGATGATTGCGTAGACAACGCATGTGAAAACAATTCCACGTGCGTGGATGGGATTGGAGAATACACCTGTCAATGTGGCATACACTTCAAAGGCGATTTATGCGAAATAGCAATGGGTAACTATTATTTAACATTCATCAGGCATATCATTATAAGAGGTTTACAGAGAGCTTATATTCATAGAAAAACTAACATTGATGCATTGCCTAACATGTCTGTTCTTTGCTGGTTCGTTGATCTACATGTCTACTACTGTAAAGCAGGTAATTTCGCGGGGTTTTTAAAATCGCTATATTCGCGCTTTGACTAATATCCGCGAATTCTAAACACGAGGGATATTGTTGAAAATGTTAACCAAATAAGATTATCACCAGACAACTGGACAGTCCATGTAAAAACTACACTTACATATAAGTGGCCACACCATATTTATGTGTACACTGAAGGTAATTTATTGATTACAGTTTACTCCTACAAAGGTACATACACATTTGATTTTCTTTCGAATGAAGTCACTGGCGGATGACGACGCTCGGGATCAGTGTTTTTGAACGGTTCACCTGTATTTAGAGGTTAAACCCTTAAATGATGACACTCAAAATACTTTGCACGACACATGGGGTTCGGGTGCACAGCGAAATGTAACCCCCGCGAATATGTACTGAATACGAAACCGCGAAATATTTACCCCGCGAATTTTAAGCGCTATACAGTATTTGTTACATAGGCATCAGATCCGCGCCTACCACCGCCAGCACACACACATGTTATACACAATCGGAGTCACGTTCTGAAAAGACTAACTGTTTCAAAAGTGAAACATCAGGAAATATCCACTTGATTAAAACTGTATTTTCACTGTAATGAAGATATACGTATTAGTATTGACCAATCAGAACGTTGCTTTCTTTTAATTACGTAGATTTATACTTTCAAGTTCGGATGGGGCGACGGTTGATTAAGTGTTTGTTTATATGCGCCTCTGCCACATAAATTTAAGTATGTATATATCTACACAATTACCATAATCTCTTCGTGAAAACTTTCTTTACCAGATAATAGCAGAGTTGCGTTGTAATAGCAGAGTTGCGTTGTCCCATTCAAAATGGCGTTCTGCTTTCTTGTAAGCGTAACGTCATGAGAACCTGGCGTCAAATATAACACTACAAATTCTGCACGTTTTTGAAGTAGCAATATATGGGACGCGTAACTTTAAAAAAATGTAATGATTATAAAATATAGTTGTTTTTACCGTTGAACATTCTATATATCACCGTATGATTATACATTGTAGCATCCTCTCAAGATCTATAGATAAATTTAGTACAAGAAAAATAGGCTAACAGCAAATTTTATCAAATGTTTATCTTTATGCAATACTACAAAACAATGAATCTGAGGTAAACATTTAAACGTGCAGTTAAGAATGTATATTTTAGTGCCTTTGGATATTTATTGAGTGGCAATAATGTGAGGATATTAAGCGTGGACAAAATATTCTGAACGATAAAATCAATGTCATTAACAAAACTAACCGAAGAATAAATTGAAGTATGCAGGATCCGTTCCTTCAGTTGGCCTCTGGCAGGTAGTGACACTAATCAAAAGATTTGGTGTCCAGAAGCTTTGCTGCATATCATTTTACCTTCCTTTTTTGTCGTTCAGAAAATCCGTTTTTCCATTGTAAACCTAACAAAAGCTATTTTTTTGGTTTGTTTCATAGTTGATGGCGATTGGAGTGTGTGGAGCAACTGGTCTGTATGTTCAGCTTCATGTGGAAATGGGACGACAGTGAGGAAAAGACTTTGTAACAATCCAACGCCAGATCATGGCGGCAAGGACTGTGTCGGAGAAAATACTGACATTATGATCTGCAACGTGGAGAATTGTACAGGTTATATGCAAAAGATAGTGCCAGCAATTTGATCACATGGACACTATTAAATACACATATAAATATGAATTCCTAACACAGCTTGATTTTAGTGCGGACTCAGAATATGATTTTCGGTTTATTTTTATATTGATTTGGTTTTAATTAAATACATGAGTTACGCGTATGATTTCCATTACTATGACTGTGATATTTGAAATAAAGTGCAATTCACGAAAGGACAATCAGATCAACGGACATATATTTTAACAATTTAAAGCACACTTGATTTCATCAAACGCAATGAAATTTTATGTTCGATATTTAGATTAAGTTAGTTTTACCGAAATACAAATTGTAAATCCGTTACCAATTTGTCGTTAAGATAATTTACTCACTTTAAAGAAAGCAAGGCAGTCTTTACAACGAATCTAATTAAGATTGGTTGAACACACATTGTAACTTATAGAACGTTTGCTGTTCTAAGCAACTGCTTGTTATCATTATATGTCAACAATTCACATGGGAATGTATTGTAAGATATTTGGGAATGTAAAATCTTTTTGTTTTGCAGTTTGTACAAACCTAACAACTCCATCAAATTCGATCCTCTTTTGCAACTGGGAAACTGCCATGGACGCTGTTTATTGCACACTGACATGTGAGGATGGCTATGACTTTGACCATGCTGCAAAGGAAGATTACCATTGTGGACCGGACACATTTCATTTATGGGATTTTCAAACGGACGATAACCCTTATGGACGCCTTCCTGCTTGCACAAGTATATTCAAATAACACTTATATGTAGGATAATCTTAACCTCAGTAACCAAATGACGAACTTACAAAGTTTTGTTTACTGACATTGCATATTAAAGATTAGTTTTATTCCGCTTTATGTTATTGCTATGTGCATGCACGTTAAGCATTAACAAAGAATCAATGTATGTACCATGTGAACAATTAGTTTAAAATAAGTGCTTCGTTCCTGATTTCCTTTTTTTCTAATGATTATTTTACATTACAAGATGGTTGACTTCGGGTAGATTTTAAATTCCCGAAGTTGGATGTAACCTTGGTAGATGGTATGTTTACAATAAAGTTGAAGTTTATCTGTTGTGGACAAAAAATTGTAAAGTTAGATAGGATTTTATTGATGCCTATCTCTTTTGCAATTTCTACGTATGTTTCGGAACACATAAGTCCGTAAGTACCGCTGGTGATTCCTTCAGGCACGCAATAGCAATATATTAGTGCTTTGCATCGAATAACTCAAATTTTGAATTGGTGCTTCCGTACTTTGTACTTCTAGTGATAATTATACCAAGTATAATACATACAAATGGAATGTAACTCGCGGAAATATATACACGAATGTCATTTTACACTTATAGTATGTTGTTCATTATTATTCTTGCACGTTCGGGGAAAGATTATGCCTGCTGTATCAAAATGCATCTTATCGTAACAGGCGACCAATGTGATGTGCCCCTGTGACCCTTCATCTGTATCTTCCTTCTTCTTAGTAGATATTGAAGAAACGGAACTTGATCTGTCCCCATTGCAACGCTTGGGATTTCTCTCTCTCTCACTTTCCTTCCCTTTCCTTCCGGCGTTGCCTATAGGCAGACATGTTCATGCATATATCCTTAGCTGTTACGAGAACGATAGACCTAATGAAAACAAACAAACAAAATCAGAACTTTATTTTACATAAACATTATATGCAACTTTGTTGTTTTCAGAAAAGACAGACGGGCGCAGAATTGAATGGAAATATATGGCTTCATATGAACAGTTGATATGTGACAATAAGGACACCTCTGAATTGATAGCTAAAAAGATCAAAACGGCAGTGTACGAGGGAACGGATACTTTAACATGTCAACAAGATGGCTCCTGCTCCCTACTAAATATAGAAGTGAGGGACTGCCAGGTGGATAGGTTTAAACGTAGTACCAATCCATTAACTGCTGGATTTGCTGCAGATTTCACATGCGATGCTGTAAAATGTAAGTCATGGTCATGAAAGTTGAATTATATAAAAGTTTATTTTTGTCGTTTATTGATTTTCTTCTTTACAAATGTCGTTAAACAAGATATTGCAAACATAAGTGTTATTACATATCAAAAGCTACTACTAACAACAGTCCAAAAAGTGAACGTTAAGACATTATTTGGAACTCGATGCTATTTATAAGATGAAACATTGTGAATTTGTTCTGTGCCAACTATCTTCCATTATTGTCTGATATAAAATTTAATTTCATTCGGAAGTCACATCAGACGGATGCAGGGATATCATTAATGAAGCGTTGGAGGAGATACTACATAAAATAGACAACTTATTCAACACATTTGTGAACGGTCAGGAGTATTTCATCAAGAAAAACAGTTCTGCATTTGGGGGAAGAGTTTATTGTAACGTTGGTATGGTTCCAGTTTACCATTACTGCGGTAAGAAACAAAATTCAAGAAGGATGGGTTCGTTATTGTTTCTTTATAACAAATATTGTAAAATCCAATTTTGAAACTTTTAAATGATAACGGTACACATCTCGAGAAGGACACAGAACTCGATTAAAGTAGTTTAAACCGTAAAAATTCAGACGTTATGTCGAAAAACAACTGATTTTCCACCAAAACATTGTTGCATATTTGTATCATCAATTTTCTTGCCAGTACCTTGTAGTGCCGGTAGATATCAACGACTCGGTAAATGTGACAAATGTGATGTCGGGACTTACCAGCAAAGTACAGGTCAGACATCTTGTGTCAGCTGTCCTGTTGAATTAACTACTGAGGGTAGGGCGTCGACAAGTGTCGCCGATTGCAAGGGTAAATATGAAAGACAATACCAAAACTCTAAGATATGCAATTAAATTAAATTTAATTAAAATCCATCTGCTACTGGTCAAATAACTGTATAACTGTAATGCTTGTGTAATATCTTCACCGAGGAAGCATCTGGCAAACCACTTAACCTAACGAAACAAAATGTCTAGCAATAGATATTGCCATAGAATAACACGTTTTTGTGCGTTTGTTTGCTTTTGTTCGATTTCGTCTATTAATTTGTTATTTTACAGCTACTTTGTTTATGAAAAACGGTTTTGATAGCCCCTCATGCATGTATCAAATATCTTTCACAAAGAGTCTATATGTCACAAATAGCGAATATATCACATATATAATCGGCCACATGAAATGTACCTGTCATTAAAATAATATTTGTACTATGGAAAAATGATTGTCAGATATCCCCAAAGAAATTATAGTTACTCTAGTATTGTTATTTTATTTGTCATATCACTTTACGTACTGATTTTATTTTAAAGACGAAACTATCTTTAATTTCAGTTCATGTTGACACGTCAGCTAACAACAGTAAGTGAAAAAAAAATGTATGCATGTGTAACAATGATTGTACAATAGTTTAACTTCTTGATGATTTGCCTCGTGACATTCAAATTCAAATTAATATATATCATTTTAACAAGAGGCCTAGAGGGCCAGTATCGTTCACCCAGACCCCAAGGCCAATCCTTGTAGCATATCTGTATTAGATTTTTAATGCCCCGCAAGTTTATGTATGGTTATGGGGTGGGGATCTCAACTGTTTCCAAGCTGTGACTGAGAAACTAGGTCCCTAGGGTTGTGGCCAGGGTCAATTCTAATATCATGACTGCATTCGGCTTTTTTTATGCCCAGCATTTATATATATAGTGTTCGGGTGGGGATCGCAACCCATCAAAGTTATGACCCAGGGGTTAAGTTTGCAAGGATAAGGCAGATCCCTGGGTCAATTCTAATATCATGACAGCATTTGTCTCTTTATGCCCAACAATTGTATATATAGTTTCCGGGTGGGGATCTCAACCGTTTCGAAGTTCTGACCCAGGCGCTAAGTCTCCTAGGGTGAAGCCATACCCTGGGGCCATCCTGGAAGCATATGTACATTCTTCTTTTTATACTCCGCAATTATATATATGGTTATAAGGTGGGGATCTCAATCATTTCCAAGTAATAAACTATTTTTGGCCCCAACCCTTAGCCTGAGGGGTTAGCCCCACTATTTGTACACTTTTGATTCCCATCCTCCAATGAATGCTTCTGACTAAATGTGATCTATATCCAGTGCATAGATCTTGCTTAAAGCAATATAGCCAAATTGCTCCCTTTTCGGCCCTGCCCCTCAGCCCCCTGGGGGATCAGTTCCACCAATTGTACAATTTTGAATCCCCACTACCTAGGGATGCTTCTAGTCAAATATGGTTGATGTCAATCTGTTAGTTCCAGAGAAGTCGCTTAAAGCAATAAAGACAAAAACATTTTTTCTGCCCCACCCCTCAGCCTCCTGGGGGGTCAGCCCCACCATTTGTACAATTTGAATCCCCACTTCCTACGGATGCTTCCAGTCAAATATGGTTGATATCCATCTTTTGGTTCCGGATCCAGAGAAGATTTTGCTTAAAGCAATAAAGACACATTGCCCCCTTTTGACCCCGCCCCTCAGCACCCTGGGGGGTCAGCCTAAGCATTTGTACAATTTTGAATCCCCACTACCTAGGGATGCTTCCAGTCAAATATGGTTGATATCAATCTGTTAGTTCCAGAGAAGTCGCTTAAAGCAATGTAGAGAAAAACAATTTTTCTGCCCCACCCCTTAGCCTCCTGGGGGGTCAGCCCCACCATTTGTACAATTTTGAATCCCCACTTCCTACGGATGCTTCCAGTCATATATGGTTGATATCCATTTTTTGGTTGCTGATCCAGGGAAGAAGTCGCTTAAAGCAATAAAGACACATTGCCCCCTTTTGCCCCACCCCTCAGCTTCCTGGGTGTCAGCCCCACCATTTGTAAAATTTTGAATCCTCACCACCTAGGGATGCTTCCAGTCAAATTTAGTCAAATTCCAATCAGTGGTTTAGAAGAAGAAGTCGTTTGAAGAAAATGTTGACGTATATCCGAATTTTCATCTCCTTAATTTGTTCAAAGAAGTCCTATTGTATTGCATGTGCAAAAACCTAAGGCAAAAGTTAGACCGAGTGGGTTTAAGGGGTACAAAAAGGGGTAGGGTAAATCACAAATATAATTTGCTGTTTTCAAAATGAACTTATGAAGAACCAAAATAATATCATTTCTGTTTTTGAAAACATGTGTAAATTAAGCACGCATATATAAAAGAAAGAAAAATGACAGAAATTCAATCGTCACTTAAAGATTGTTTATATAAAACTGGGGATCAAAGTGTTGTGTTTTCTCAATAATTTCCTTTCTAACTTATATTTTGAGTTGAAACTTACAAGTTTACTCATTTGAGCACACTTACATAAAATGCATATTCACTACACAATTTCCTTTTGTTTTTTTTACTGAGTTATGGCTTCTGGATACATCTCAAACTTGGCAATTTTGGTACCCCAAAAATCCACTTTCTGTCAAACTTTTGCTTAAGCTTTTGTGCAAGTAATACTATAGGATATCTTTGAACAAATTAAGGAGGTGAAAATCTGAATATACAGGGGGCCCAAAATAGGGCCTTATAGACACTCATCCTTTGGCGTCCGTTGAAGACATAACAGGTTGCAATATATAGTAGGGCCGCTAACTAGACTTATTAATCCCACTTATATATGCAAGTGTAGAGTGAATCAAAACAAATATTTCCATTGTGCTCCATTATCCAATTGATAGTCTCATTTTCATCTTCAGCAATCTAAGTGGTCATGAAATTTTGTGAAACATACACATCCATGGTTAAAGACTATCCTTAAAATCAAAAAGAAATTCCAACGAAATGGATTATACATAAAATAAAAATGCATTATTTGTTTAAATGTTGGTGCTCATTCAGTTTCAGTTTGGACGCATGCACTTCCAATTATAATTGGTGTTACATTTGGGATTTGCTGTGTGGTTACTTCCTTGCTGATTCGGCGAAAATGCAGGTACGCTCTAACAGAGACGTATTATATAGGTGTCCAGGTGGTGTATGTAGACGTAGTGGATATTGCACTCACGTTTCATCAAGACAGTCGCGGTTCGCTCCCCGATAGGTCATGAAAAGGTCTTGTGTTCCCCAAAAAATGGGAACAAAAGTCGTCGCTTTGTCCTATGTATTCGAAATAATTGTTTCCAGATGATAACTTTAGAAAAACTAATCTTATGTAAACCACATTTCGGTGACAGATGGGAAGGGGAAGAAGCTTATTGATTTTGGGATCACCTAGTCACAGTAGCTATATTGGTTTTCAAATATTGTCTTTTGAACTATACGTCAGATCTTAATCAAACTTGGATGTCAATAAATAGACAACTTTCTGCAATATCTGTAAATGGACGTTTACCCAAAAACCAGCAGCTTATTTGAGATACATTTGTCGATTATACCTGTTTTTTCACCCGTTTCCACACTGAATATTACATAAATCTGATTCGTGGGATGGAGAAGGTATCAGAAGTGTTTTAAGTCTAACAAATCAGGTACAAAAATGTGTACATTAAAACTTTTATATTTATCGTTTCTCTCGTAAAAGACATGGTGATTGTGTTTCACTTTTGTTTAAGGACTGTCAAGAAAGAGCGTAAAATCAGAGACATGTTTGCACAATATGGAGAACACAAGCATTGTGTGACTAAGCCGAAGCTCACATACCTGCAGTAAGTATAAATCATAACATGCATTTAAATAAATGCTACAATCTGTTTGTGTATGAACTTATGAATCCTATATGTTTATGCATATTTTACATTACATTATATATTCATTTTTAATTAAATCTCTTTTTCAGGTTATTCGATCAATGAGTTAATGTAAATAAATCAAACAGATTATTTTCAACTTTTAAGCATACTGTATTAAATAATTTGCCATTTCTGATGACATTACAGGTGAATTGAAGATTTTTATATAGGATCTGTAATAAGTTTTCGTTCCATATGAGCTTGATGCAGCAAGTCTAAAAGTTTTTATTTTAGGAATAAAACTAAACACAAACTTGAGGACGAAATTCCATTATCAATCTCAAATAAAATGGAAAACTGTTCAAAACCCCCTTTACAGCAACAAAAGGTTGTTGTCATCTGACAATATATTACAGCATTTTATTTGAATCATTTATAGTAATTTAGTTCACTTTGTTGAGATCATTCAGTCAGTTGGAATTAAGTATAAAAGGGATTTTCAATTCCAGGTGAAATAGAGATATTCCTGCTGTCAGTGCGTTTCAGAAGTCTGAATATGTTCTTAATTTTTCAAGATTGTACAGTAACGGTCATGATATTGTACCATAGATCCAAACAATATTAAATAGTGCATAATTGTTTTCATTAATGTAGGTCGTATTAGTCTAAATCTTACGTCAGGATCTAACATCGTCAATTGTAATTTCTTTATAAAGTGTTTTATGATTACTTAGGTTACATGAAAGGAAAGTGACATGTTATATGATGAGAATAAAAGTCTTCCATTAATACTGTCCATTGTGTTCACAAAATCACATTCAATAGAAGTTCCATGTTACATATATGACACTTAAGTTATTTTCATTTCAGACATTCAAAATAGACATCAAGTGAGTCTGATACTGTTGCTGGATCGAAACGAAGAAAAGATACTTTGGAAGCACAGACATTAAACATGATCAACTGTTGTAGCAACAGCATACAATTTCAACTCTGATCATGAGAATTTAGTTTACATGTTAATTGGTGTAGATCCTCATCACAGTGAGGTATCATGTCTTTGTGGAGGTCCTCCAGGTATTTCGTGTTCAGTTTCTGTTATTTGTGTGTTGAAAATGGCTGGTTATTTTTCCTTAATGTGTTACTTTTAAGCTTAAAAAGGCAAAATACCCTTTTTATGGAAATTGAGTTTATTATAAATATACAACATAAATATGTATATATATATATATATATATATATGTGTTGATTTCTGTTGAATTGTTATCCCATTTCTAATGAAAGCTACCAAATTCTGACATTTTGTCTAGTTCAACTTATATGTTGTATCCCACAGGGTGTCAGATTAGTCAGGTTCACTTTGATTTGAAATATCATACCAAATTATTACAAAGATTCACTTTATCAAACCAATAAACCATAAAAACATCAAGTCTCATTTTTTTGCTCATTTAACAATTTGAGTGAGACATGTGAACAAGCTTTGTGTATTGACAGACGAGGTCTGGTTTGTATATATTTCCTGACCAAAGAGTACGCTTCAATCCCTCTTTTCCCCCTACACAATGGTAATCCCTGGTAACTATCATTAGTAAGTTAAGATGCCGATATTTCATAACAGAAAATACCTTTACTGCGGTTGAGATGGAACGAGATCCTAGGTATCAAGATAAAATAAGTAGCCATGGCAATACTGAACTCATCTTCAAATAAATTCACTCTTTCACCATTGCTCAGTTTACAACACACAAATACTCACCACCGTTCTTCACTCTGCTCCCTTGATTAAACCTTGATTCTTCAGTAAATGTCTCTCCTCCCCCACCCACACACCAACACTGCCCTATCAATTACACACCGACTCATCCATAAATGAACCTTACTCTCCTCCCCCCACCCACACACCAACACTGCCCTATCAATTACACACCGCCTCATCCATAAATAAACCTTACTCTCCTACCCCTACCCACACACCAACACTGCCCAATCAATTACACACCACCTCATCCATAAATGAACCTTCCTCTCCTCCCCCCACCCACACACCAACACTGCCCTATCAATAACCCACCGACTCATCCATAAATGAACCTTACTCTCCCCCCCCCCACCCACACACCAACACTGCCCTATCAATTACACACCGATTCATCCATAAATGAACCTTACTCTCCTCCCCCTACCCACACACCAACACTGCCCAATCAATTACACCCCGACTCATCCATAAATGAACCTTACTCTCCCCCCCCCCACCCACACACCAACACTGCCCAATCAATTACACCCCGACTCATCCATAAATGAACCTTACTCTCCCCCCCCCCACCCACACACCAACACTGCCCAATCAATTACACCCCGACTCATCCATAAATGAACCTTACTCTCCTACCCCCAACCACACACCAACACTGCCCTATCAATTACACGCCGACTCCTCCATAAATGAACCTTACTCTCCTCCCCCCACCCACAAACCAACACTGCCCTATCAATTACACACCGCCTCATCCATAAATGAACCTTACTCTGCTCCCCCCACCCACACACCAACACTGCCCTATCAATAACACACCCACTCATCCATAAATGAACCTTACTCTCCTACCCCTACCCACACACCAACACTGCCCTATCAATTACGCACAGACTCCTCCATAAATGAACCTTACTCTCCTCCCCCTACCCACACACCAACACTGCCCTATCAATTACACACCCCCTCATCCATAAATGAACCTTACTCTCCACCCCCTGCCCACAAACCAACACTGCCCTATCAATTACACACCGCCTCATCCATAAATGAACCTTACTCTCCTCCCCCTACCCACAAACCAACACTGCCCTAGCAATTACACACCGCCTCATCCATAAATAAACCTTACTCTCCTACCCCTACCCACACACCAACACTGCCCTATCAATTACACCCTAACTCATCCATAAATGAACCTTACTCTCCTCCACCCCACCCACACACCAACACTGCCCAATCAATTACACACTGACTCATCCATAAATGAACCTTACTCTCCTCCCCCTACCCACAAACCAACACTGCCCTAGCAATTACACACCGCCTCATCCATAAATAAACCTTACTCTCCTCCCCCTACCCCCACACCAACACTGCCCAATCAATTACACACCACCTCATCCATAAATGAACCTTCCTCTCCTCCCCCCACCCACACACCAACACTGCCCTATCAATTACACGCCGACTCCTCCATAAATGAACCTTACTCTCCTCCCCCCATCAACACACCAACACTGCCCTATCAATCTCTCCTCCCCCCCACCCACACACCAACACTACCCCATCAATTACACACCCCCTCATCCATAAATGAACCTTACCCTCCTCCCCCCCACCCACACACCAACACTGCCCTATCAATAACACACCCACTCATCCATAAATGAACCTTACTCTCCTACCCCCACCCACACACCAACACTGCCCAATCAATTACACCCCGACTCATCCATAAATGAACCTTACTCTCCCCCCCCCCACCCACACACCAACACTGCCCTATCAATTACACGCCGACTCCTCCATAAATGAACCTTACTCTCCTCCCCCCACCCACAAACCAACACTGCCCTATCAATTACACACCGCCTCATCCATAAATGAACCTTACTCTTCTCCCCCCACCCACACACCAACACTGCCCTATCAATAACACACCCACTCATCCATAAATGAACCTTACTCTCCTACCCCCAACCACACACCAACACTGCCCTATCAATTACACGCCGACTCCTCCATAAATGAACCTTACTCTCCTCCCCCCATCAACACACCAACACTGCCCTATCAATCTCTCCTCCCCCCCACCCACACACCAACACTACCCCATCAATTACACACCCCCTCATCCATAAATGAACCTTACCCTCCTCCCCCTACCCACAAACCAACACTGCCCTATCAATTACACACCGCCTCATCCATAAATGAACCTTACTCTCCTCCCCCCACCCACACACCAACACTACCCTATCAATTACACACCACCTCATCCATAAATGAACCTTACTCTCCTCCCCCCACCCACACACCAACACTGCCCTATCAATAACACACCGACTCATCCATAAATGAACCTTACTCTCCTACCCCCATCAACACACCAACACTGCCCTATCAATTACACACCGACTCATCCATAAATGAACCTTACTCTCCTCCCCCCACCCACACACCAACACTGCCCTATCAATTACACACCGACTCATCCATAAATGAACCTTACTCTCCTCCCCCCACCCACACACCAACACTGCCCTATCAATTACACACCGACTCATCCATAAATGAACCTTACTCTCCTCCCCCCACCCACACACCAACACTGCCCTATCAATTACACACCGACTCATCCATAAATGAACCTTACTCTCCTCCCCCCACCCACACACCAACACTGCCCTATCAATTACACACCGACTCATCCATAAATGAACCTTACTCTCCTCCCCCCACCCACACACCAACACTGCCCTATCAATTACACACCGACTCATCCATAAATGAACCTTACTCTCCTCCCCCCACCCACACACCAACACTGCCCTATCAATTACACACCGACTCATCCATAAATGAACCTTACTCTCCTCCCCCCACCCACACACCAACACTGCCCTATCAATTACACACCGACTCATCCATAAATGAACCTTACTCTCCTCCCCCCACCCACACACCAACACTGCCCTATCAATTACACACCGACTCATCCATAAATGAACCTTACTCTCCTCCCCCCACCCACACACCAACACTGCCCTATCAATTACACACCGACTCATCCATAAATGAACCTTACTCTCCTCCCCCCACCCACACACCAACACTGCCCTATCAATTACACACCGACTCATCCATAAATGAACCTTACTCTCCTCCCCCCACCCACACACCAACACTGCCCTATCAATTACACACCGACTCATCCATAAATGAACCTTACTCTCCTCCCCCCACCCACACACCAACACTGCCCTATCAATTACACACCGACTCATCCATAAATGAACCTTACTCTCCTCCCCCCACCCACACACCAACACTGCCCTATCAATTACACACCGACTCATCCATAAATGAACCTTACTCTCCTCCCCCCACCCACACACCAACACTGCCCTATCAATTACACACCGACTCATCCATAAATGAACCTTACTCTCCTCCCCCCACCCACACACCAACACTGCCCTATCAATTACACACCGACTCATCCATAAATGAACCTTACTCTCCTCCCCCCACCCACACACCAACACTGCCCTATCAATTACACACCGACTCATCCATAAATGAACCTTACTCTCCTCCCCCCACCCACACACCAACACTGCCCTATCAATTACACACCGACTCATCCATAAATGAACCTTACTCTCCTCCCCCCACCCACACACCAACACTGCCCTATCAATTACACACCGACTCATCCATAAATGAACCTTACTCTCCTCCCCCCACCCACACACCAACACTGCCCTATCAATTACACACCGACTCATCCATAAATGAACCTTACTCTCCTCCCCCCACCCACACACCAACACTGCCCTATCAATTACACACCGACTCATCCATAAATGAACCTTACTCTCCTCCCCCCACCCACACACCAACACTGCCCTATCAATTACACACCGACTCATCCATAAATGAACCTTACTCTCCTCCCCCCACCCACACACCAACACTGCCCTATCAATTACACACCGACTCATCCGTAAATGAACCTTACTCTCCTCCCCCCACCCACACACCAACACTGCCCTATCAATTACACACTGACTCATCCATAAATGAACCTTACTCTCCTCCCCCCACCCACACACCAACACTGCCCTATCAATTACACACCGACTCATCCATAAATGAACCTTACTCTCCTCCCCCCACCCACACACCAACACTGCCCTATCAATTACACACTGACTCATCCATAAATGAACCTTACTCTCCTCCCCCCACCCACACACCAACACTGCCCTATCAATTACACACCGACTCATCCGTAAATGAACCTTACTCTCCTCCCCCCACCCACACACCAACACTGCCCTATCAATTACACACTGACTCATCCATAAATGAACCTTACTCTCCTCCCCCCACCCACACACCAACACTGCCCTATCAATTACACACCGACTCATCCGTAAATGAACCTTACTCTCCTCCCCCCACCCACACACCAACACTGCCCTATCAATTACACACTGACTCATCCATAAATGAACCTTACTCTCCTCCCCCCACCCACACACCAACACTGCCCTATCAATTACACACCGACTCATCCGTAAATGAACCTTACTCTCCTCCCCCCACCCACACACCAACACTGCCCTATCAATTACACACTGACTCATCCATAAATGAACCTTACTCTCCTCCCCCACCCACACACCAACACTGCCCTATCAATTACACACCGACTCATCCGTAAATGAACCTTACTCTTCTCACCCCACTCCCACATAATCCTCTCACTTTAACCCTGACTCTTATATGACCCTTATTTGACCCTCCCAAACCACCCCTACCTACACTCACTTAAACCCCAAATCCTGTCATCTAAACTCCTTCATCTGTAAATACTTACCCCTCCCCATATACCCTAGCTGCTAGTCTAAAAATAAATACAATACATACTACATAAACTTAAACTTGATTGTAAGCAAACATATCAGACTGAGGACTTTACCAACATAAATTTATGTATCATTTAAGCTATACTGTAGTAATAACAAGAGGATACAATACACTACCGCACAGACTAATGAACTATACACAAGGTGATACCAAGCAGATCTGAACAGCACTGTGAAGAAATTAAAATGATAAATACGGTACAACAATAATAACGTCATGATTCCATCTAGCTTCATACTGAAATGTACATCATCAAGCACTTGCGGATAACAATGATGAAATTGACACACACCATGCCATAGAGCACCATTACAAACAATTATGTCTACAATATCTAAACTTCAACATACATGGGTACCATGCTTATGTCATGGAACAAGAGGACAAGAAAGAATTATCGTGGCTTGTTTCAACTTAGGTACCACTTATGCTATGATAATCAACCTATTTACATACATAATATATTAGACAACCTGTCCAGACTTCTGTAAAAACAACATTTTAACAAAATATCCTTTATCATATAAAGATACTTACAGTCAGTCGACACAAACAAAATAATTGTGGCCAAAATGATACAAATTAAAGTAAAAAGGACCTATTCCAAAATAAGGTGACAAAATGTGTTTTATGTATAATAATATTATTACATATCGCAAATTAAACAAATTGTAATGGATTTAAAATAACTGAAGAAATCTATATCAACACAAAGTTTCAATAAAGTTACTCATTAAAAAACTTTGAAACAATCTTTTCTCCAGTTTAAACATTCCAGCACTTTTCATGGATTTTGTTGTTCAGATATCTTGAAGTTTTAAAGATAAAATCTTCAGAGGTGAGAAAACAACATTAACAGATCCCTAATAAAAAATTCCTTACTGTATCACATCGTCTCATGATAGCAAATAACCAGACTTTTAGTTTATGGCACTGCCAGCTAAAACAGAAGCATAACACAATTATTAAAACATTAAATTAAAAAAGAAAAAAAAACGTACTAAAATTAAATGAAGCGTGACAACTTAAATGAAAGACGTAGGAAAATAGCAAAATAATAATGAAACGTAATATATATTATCGATACGTTATAGATGACTTTCTACAGCCACTTCGACACGCCTGCTCGGACCGGAGGTTTGTTGTGACTGTTCCGCGGAATTCGACAGATGTCCTAAATTTTCCTGTCGTTGACTGTGTTCCACCTGATCAAACACTTTCTGCACAGATTGGTTGAAGAGATCAGACTCATCAGCATAGACATGGTGTCCAGCATCACTTATCACCTGCAAATTAAAGACTATATTCAAAAAACGACATACAGTTTGCAAACACAAAATTCATTACAGTGAATTTACTAGTTCTGAGAAGTGATTGCATACAATGTCTTAATACCAATAACACATTGGATTGTATTCTGTGATCCTGATGATTTTATTTTTTTATAACATTTAGTTTGTTTTAAACAGTATTTTATTCAATAACCATGTCAATTACATACCTATGATTTCAGAGTGATGGGAAAATAAGTTTAGAAATTAGAGCCAGTTCAACTGGTTTGTCTGTTTTTAAATGGTTACATTTTCGGGTATAAATTCTAGCAAACCTGCAAAAGATTACGCAAATTACACAGGTGCGCAAATTACATGGGTTTTTACGGTATGCAGGCAGGCTTTGTCAAGGCTCGCCTGATCAGATTACTAGGACTGACCTTATCTCATAAACGAACAAGTCTAGTCCAACCGCTGTAACTGTTTAGATCGGGATAAACAAATGCGGCCTCGCTGAAATATGTTTTATTGAAATCTGTTCAAAGGTCCCAAATATAAATTGTCTGACTATGACAGCTGATCATTCTCTAGATCTCACAGCTCACCAAGCTAATAGTAAATAAAGTCTGTATTATTCAAAACTTTCAACAGGTGATTGTAACTGCAAAGAATACAATTGTCATGTGTTCTCTTTATGATAAATTTTACCATGATTATGAATTTAACTTGTGATTATGACATCATCATACCTCTATATTGACGCTGCTGTCCTTTCGAAGTTCCTTCACCTGGTATGCTGCATCCCTCTTAATCCACGAGTTTTCACCGTGGATCATGGTTAGGGGGATATCATTGAGGACATGCTGTATCCTCTCCACCATGGGGTTGGTGGCCCGGCCTAGTTTGTCACTCATGGCCCTGAAGGCAGACTCCCCACTGGAAAGATAAACAAGACAAAATTTTGAAAACGTTACCATATTTTTTCGAGACAAATATCAAAATGTTAACCAGGCATTGCATCATTATCAAATTAGGTTCAAATCTCTGAATCCAAAATTGAGTAATTTTGAAAAAAACACCACACCAATATTTCCCTTAATGGGCCTGCAAATCCGCCCCTAGCTATAAAGGATGCCACACATTTCATTTGTACAATCCTGAATTTCCTTGGATCAGAGATACTCCATGCCACATAAGCTTCTAATCCCTTCACTCATACTTAACTAGTAGGTAGTCTTTTAAAGATTTATCCTTATTTCCACTATTGGGGCCCCAGCCCTGAGCCCACAGGGAGACCACAGCCTTTCAGTTATAACACTGACACCACTGCAATTGGGGAGCTCCATAGAAAATTCACTCAAAATTCTTTCCATCATACTGGGTTAGAGTCCTTCCCATATTGAATTAGAGTTGTTAAAAGGAAAAGTAGACCCCAGACTACAGATGCTGTACTATAGTATTGCTCATTTGGGTTTTTGGGCCAGGTGAGAAAACATTGACTTCACAATTATTACTAAAAAGTACAGCACCAATCAGCGCCTTGTAAGCTATTCTGTCTAAAGATATTTGCTGCATCGCTCTCCTGGCACTGCCCTCATATATAACAATATCATTGTAGGTGATGAGGTATATCCTGATTCAATCTGACTTACCTTGGCGCTCTTGCATTGCAGTGGTATAAGTAATCATATATTGTATCATCCTGCAGTTTTCCTAGAAATTTCGCATGGAGATCTCCTCTGAATCGCTTAATCAGATCTGGTCCTAGAATAATAGCAAAACAAGCCTTAAACCTATTGCTTGGAGCTACATATATACAGCATTCTTGCAAAAAAGGAGCACTACGTTACGAAAGTTTGACCATCAATGGCTTCACCATCAGCTATCCCTTGGTGCTCTAGATATACAACATCACTATGTTACGTAAGTTTGACCATCAATGGCTTCACCATCAGCTATCCCTTGGTGCTCCAGATATACAACATATGCATGTATCTTTAATTGCTGATAGGTCTGGTAATGAATGTTCTTCATACCCACATTGGAACTGGATTCTGGAGTAGTTTTTGGTAAATAAACGGTTTCCCTGTCACTGACAATTTATTTTCTATTTCCTTACTTCTGCCAAAATCATCATTTCAATTCTTTCAGACATGAAACCAAACAATCTGGACAAACAAGGCTCCAGTGTAAAAAATGAAAAAAATAAAACATAAAACAGAATATAAAGGTGTACCTTACGATCTTGCCCAGAGCACTATAATCCCACAAAACAAAACCCATTATTTTATACATTTATACCTCAGATGGTTGTAGCCAATTTACATCACATTCATTACATATCATAATTTTCTCATCAAATATTTATATACTTTATTATACAAGTCAAAATTTAAGACTTAGGCCTAACTTACAAATGTACCAATTAAACATCATGATCTAAGCTACAGTTATCTCCCTTCATTTACATATACATGTATACCATTATTGGATGTTTTTCTCATGTAACATATCTCCCTTAAAAATCCTCATCAATAATTCAGTATTTGCATGTGATTTATCAATGTGTGTATTTTTTGAGTGTTTTCCCCCCATGTCTAAACTGCGAATCATACCAAAAATAGTAATGTCAGGTATAAACAGTTATAGATGTTACCTGACATAGTAACGTCAGGTATAAACAGTTATAGACGTTACCTGAAATAGTTACGTCAGGTATAAACAGTTATAGACATTACCTGACATAGTTACGTCAGGTATAAACAGTTATAGACGTAACCTGACATAGCTACGTCAGGTATAAACAGTTATAGACGTTACCTGACATCGTTATGTCAGGTATAAACAGTTATAGACTTTACCTGACATAGTTACGTCAGTTATAAACGGTTATAGACGTTACCTGACATAGTAACGTCAGGTATAAACAGTTATAGATCTTACCTGACATAGTAACGTCAGGTATAAACAGTTATAGATGTTCCCTGACATAGTAACGTCAGGTATAAACAGTTATAGACGTAACCTGACATAGTTACGTCAGGTATAAAAAGTTATAGACGTTACCTGACATAGTTATGTCAGGTATAAATAGTTATAGACGTTACCTGACATAGTTACGTAAGGTATAAACAGTTATAGACGTTACCTGACATAGTTGTGTCAGGTATAAACAGTTATAGACTTACCCCATGGTCCTGCCACTCTCATGATGGCCAGTGGATTGAAGGGCTTTGCTATTGTTGCTATGACTCGATACTTCATAGGAATCTCTCTGGCTTCTGATTTATCAGGGAATCCCCAGGGATCTGCTAGAATAAGGTGTCGTACACATTCTGGGTATTGTATCGTGTAGGATGTACTTATGTATCCTCCAAGACTATGTCCAAGTAAGATGAATTCCTCTAGTCCCATTTGCTTTCTCCATTCTTCAATTGATTCCACAAATTTTTTTTCTGCTCTTTCTGCATTTCTGCTAAACCCGGGCCGTGAACTTCGCCCAAATCCTAACAGGTCTATGGCATAGACTGTTCGGTCTCTAGCTAGTTCGTCGAGGTTCAGGATCCACAGCCCGATTCCTCCTCCCATGCCATGAACCAGAACCAGAGGCACAGTGTCTGTACAGCCAGGGTTCACGGTCAGTGTCCATATGTTATATTGTTTAGTGGGGAGATGTACAAATTTGGATTCATACTTGCTGTTAAGGCCTGGAAGAGAAGAATATACTGTGCTATATTTCCTTAGTTCAGAGTCAATAAAAGTTCAGTACAACCTCCATATACGTATAATGCGTCTACATTCATTTGCCACGTTGCCCTTTACTGCCAACTATAATTTCAAGGTCACCTTTACCCGGTAATTTTCTTGTTTTCTAAAATGGTATATATAGCGCCTTCCTCAACATACTGCCAAACCCCCTTATAATGCCAATTTTTTTGCTGGATACATGCTGGCAATGTCATGAAGACTATTTTCCAACCTCTTTATAATGTCGAGCAATACCGTTATAACAAAGTCAAGCTTTTGTCCATTGCACATGCTCATAATTAAATGCATCCCGGTAAATAAAATGTGTGTAGGGAAAAATTAACACATTTAAATGGTATCGTTTGAGCTGTTCTTTCATGTGAAATCATCAGCTCTTAGAAAATAGGAATGCTCAATTTTAGCATCCAAAATCTGGAGTCTCCCTCCGAAATAGGGAGAGTTGACAAGTATGCAGATGTTTTTCATTATAAACATACTTTACTGTAAAAAATGTATTTCTTTAATCTCCTAAGGTCCATTGTAAGCATATTGATTCTTTTCTAATCTATAAAAGTCATATTGGATGTACAGAATGCTTTTATATGTCCAGTACTACGTAGACTATTGTCCTGCTTTGTAGTTTGTGTATACATACATTCCAGTATTTTCTTTTCAGTATCCTCTAGCATGGCATTCGAGGTTGGCCTCCATCTCAGACTGCATGATGAGGCTCTGAAAACAGAAACAGTTATTTTAATGATATTATCTGGTTAGTACTCAGGTCTTTCAGGATTTGGTTTGTTTTTGCTTTACTTAAGGTTTAACTTGAATATATTTTTCATGTTATGGAGCTATAACACAAAAAAATGTAGTGTACTCTTAATAAACCGCGAAGCGGTTTATGATGAGAGTACACTCCATTTTTTTAATCCTTATAATTTAATCTACTATACACAATCCCTGTGGAAATCCACTTTTATTGATGGACTCTTTTTCTTTTAGAAATTATTGCGCTGCTGTATCAGCCAATCAAAAGTGACGTTACAAATGACGACATCAATGTTTTACGTTATGGGCTGATAACATAATTTTTTAAGCCAATGAAAATGCTTGTTAAAAGCAATATTAAATTATCTGAAATACACATATTCTCATTGCTTAACACTGATATGGGTCATAGCACACAGACACATATGTTTATGTGTGCTGTGACTCATAACAGTATAGCATATGTATATTTTCAGACATTTGTAAGGAACCCCTGTGTTTCATTGAAGTTGGTGCAGTATACTTTGAAATTGGATAATAGCACAGAATTAGATTGCTATCTAAGTCAGTGGTCATAAGTCATAATTTTATACAAAAATATCACCATATCATAAAAATGACACACCAATGAGGTCCAAATATAGTAGCTGTGACAAATTCTCAGGTCCCTTTGACCCAAACCTCTACTGGTGACAATCACCCACTGAGCCACTACTTTTAGTAAGAGTTATTACCCTTGCATTGCATTTTTAGCGTACACTCCATTGATGAAGCTATGCCTATGGCTATGCCATATGGTATTCATAGTGGGTTGTTGTAATCTTTAATGTGTTAACCACCTATTTTCTCTGGAATATCAAGTCATACTGTGAAAGCACCACATACTTCCACGACATGCACATCTTTAAGCATCGTTACAGTGTACAAACAATTCAATATGACCATTTTATCGATTGTCTAGCGATTCACACAAAAGATAGAAAAGAGTTATACCAATGGGAATATGGTACATTACTCGTGTTAAAATGTTAGCTGTTGCGTTGCATTTTAGCCTAGCCTAACGTCACAATCACTAGGCCTAACACGTTCAACACGGGTCAGAATCTAGATCGTTTCAGTGATACATCGATGATCAGTAGTTTAAGCTTACGTACGGCAAGAACTTTAGCATAAATGTATTACGTTATGACTTTTATGCCAAAAACATCATGTGTCTCCATTTTATAACACTTTTATATACCATCCTGTCAGATATTTTGTCATTTATGATTTATGCGAATATGATTTTGTACCAACCTTGTAGTTGACGCCATCTTTGTTATAGTTTATGACCCACAGAAGTTGTTGAAGGTAAACCACGAGATGTTCCGAATGTTATGATGTAGACATAAATAGCATTATCAGCTTAATGTCGTCAATTCTAAGTTAATCTCCTTTCTGATATACTGATATCCTTCGAGGAAAATCGAACGAAGTCCTTGTATCATTAAAGATCAGTATGGCTATATCCCTTGCGATAAATACACGAATATAATTTGTGTAATAAACATTGACAAGGAGAAAGCTTATATACATGTACATATGCACAGTACAGATGATTTCACAATGATCAGCTGATCACGACAAAACATTACCTCTAGACTGTTCCTGTACAGAACAATTCTTTGGCAACTCGGCTATATCAACTATGCGAGGCATTGGGGACAAATTTTTCTCAGATGAACAATGTAACAGAATATTGTTATTGTGAATTATCATATCGTATGTAGTTTAAGTCCTGCATCAATACTTATGATTATGGATATATGGAGGGGTTTCATCATTGTGTAAGTTATACCACGGAATTAGATTAGATATCTAAATCCGTAGTTATACGGTGATTTTAAGAGAATTATTAATGATATAACGGAATTAAACCAGAGGATAAAAAACGGGATAAAGTAATTGTGGGTTTTTTTTTGTGTGTGGATGACTTAATTCTTCAAATGTTGTGTATTTTCGATAATATTTGGCAGGAGATTAAAATCTTATTAAATTGTATCTTCGCATCGCTCCTTGTTAACTAGTATGTCGATTGGAAGCGTCAGATCGGTAAAAGGGAGCAATGCGAAGAAACAATTTTAATAAGATTGAAGTAGATTCCACGTGCACTGTGTTATTGAAAAGTGCTGAAGTATTTTGCACTGAAATACAAAAATAAATAAATAAATAGAGCTGTCGCCAGGCCTAGGATGGCTGACTAATACCCCCCGCTCGCCAAGTTATGTATTAAGGACATCAGTTATACTTATATCCATTTTGTAAAAGTGGCCTTTATTTCTGTTAAGGTGTTAAAAAAAAGTATTTAGCACAAAAGGACACAACTCCATCAAAAAGGGTCGAAATCCGAAATAAAAAATGCTGGTACACAAGTACATATAATATAATGATCATGCATACAAAGTTTCAGAAAAATCCAAAGGTTGGTTAAAAGATGATTTGAGCGGACAAATATTAAGCACAAAGCGGTATAACTCCATAAAAAAGGTCGAAATCAAAAATCAGAATGCAGGTTCACAACCACACTGATCATTCGTGTAAAGTTTCAATAAAATATGCATGTTATAGTTCAGGATTAATAATACCTACCTACCTGTCTAATCATCCAAACATCATCCTTACCAACATACACGTCATTCACATATCGTCCTCACCAACATACTCGTTATAACATTTATAATACCTACCTACCTACCTACCTACCTACCCATTATTTGTATCATCCACATATCATCCTCACCAACATATACGTTATAACATTTATAATACCTACCTACCTACCTACCTTCCTATTATTTGTATCATCCACATGCCATCCTCACGTCCCTACTCGTTATAACACCCACCTACCTTTCCTTCCTATTATTTGTGTCATCCACATGTCATCCCCGACATCATACCCGTTATAACATTTATAACACCCATCTACCTTCCTTCCTATTATTTGTGTCATCCACATGTCATCCCCGACATCATACCCGTTATAACATTTATAACACCCATCTACCTTCCTTCCTATTATTTGTGTCATCCACATGTCATCATCACCAACCTACTCGTTAAAACATTTATAATGTCCACCTACCTTCCTTCCTATTATTTGTGTCATCCACATGTCATCATCACCAACATACTCGTTAAAACATTTATAATGTCCACCTACCTTCCTTCCTATTATTTGTGTCATCCACATATCATCATCACCAACATACTCGTTAAAACATTTATAATGTCCACCTACCTTCCTTCCTATTATTTGTGTCATCCACATATCATCCTCACCAACATACACGTTAAAACATTTATAATACCTACCTACCTACCTACCTAACTACCTACCTATTATTTGTATCATCCACATATCATCCCCACCATCATACTCGTTATAACATTTATAATACCTATATACCTACCTACCTACCTTCCTATTATTTGTATCATCCACATGCCATCCTCACGATCATACTCGTTATAACACCCACCTCCCTTTCCTTCCTATTATTTGTGTCATCCACATGTCATCATCACCAACATACTCGTTAAAACATTTATAATGTCCACCTACCTTCCTTCCTATTATTTGTGTCATCCACATGTCATCATCACCAACATACTCGTTAAAACATTTATAATGTCCACCTACCTTCCTTCCTATTATTTGTGTCATCCACATATCATCATCACCAACATACTCGTTAAAACATTTATAATGTCCACCTACCTTCCTTCCTATTATTTGTGTCATCCACATATCATCCTCACCAACATACACGTTAAAACATTTATAATACCTACCTACCTACCTACCTACCTATTATTTGTATCATCCACATATCATCCCCACCATCATACTCGTTATAACATTTATAATACCTATATACCTACCTACCTACCTTCCTATTATTTGTATTATCCACATATCACACCCACCATCATACTCGTTATAACATTTATAATACCTATTTACCTACCTACCTACCTTCCTATTATTTGTATCATCCACATGCCATCCTCACGATCATACTCGTTATAATACCTACCTACCTTCCTTCCTATTCTTTGTATCATCCGTATATCATCACCGACATCATACTCGTTAAAACATTTATAATACCTACCTACCTGCCTACCTACCTTCCTACATATTATTTGTGTCATCCACATATCATCCTCACCAACATATACGTTAAAACATTTATAATACCTACTTACCTACCTACCTACCTATTATTTGTATCATCCACATATAATCCCCGACATCATACTCGTTATAACATTTATAATACCCATCTACCTTCCTTCCTATTCTTTGTATCATCCGTATATCATCACCGACATCATACTCGTTATAACATTTATAATACCTACCTACCTTCCTTCCTATTATTTGTGTCATCCACATATCATCACCGCCATCATACTCGTTATAACATTTATAATACCTACCTTCCTTTCCTACCTATTATTTGTGTCATCCACATATCATCACCGCCATCATACTCGTTATAACATTTATAATACCTATATACCTACCTACCTACCTTCCTATTATTTGTATTATCCACATATCATCTCCATCATCATACTCGTTCTAACAGTTATAACACCAACATACCTTCCTTCCTATTATTTGTATTATCCACATATCATCTCCATCATCATACTCGTTCTAACAGTTATAACACCAACATACCTTCCTTCCTATTATTTGTATTATCCACATATCATCCCCACCATCATACTCGTTAAAACATTTATAATACCTACCTACCTACCTACCTTCCTATATCCACCAACCTACCTTCCTATTATTTGTATCATCCACATGCCATCCTCACGATCATGCTCGTTTTAACGCCCACCTACCTTTCCTTCCTATTATTTGTGTCATCCACATATCATCACCGCCATCATACTCGTTATAACATTTATAATACCCTCCTACCTTCCTTCCTAACATTTGTATCATCCACCTATTCCACATGCCATCCTCACGATCATACTCGTTTTAACACCCTCCTACCTTCCTTCCTATTATTTATGTCATCCACATATCATCCCCGCCATCATACTCGTTATAACATTTATAATACCCACCTCCCCTCCTTCCTATTATTTGTATCATCCACATGCCATCCTCACGATCATGCTCGTTTTAACGCCCACCTACCTTTCCTTCCTATTATTTGTGTCATCCACATATATACCTATCTACTTACCTACCTACCTACCTACCTTCCTATTATTTATGTCATCCACATATCATCCCCGACATCATACTCGTTATAACATTTATAATACCTACCTACCTGCCTTCCTATTATTTGTGTCATCCACATATATACCTATCTACTTACCTACCTACCTACCTACCTTCCTATTATTTGTATTATCCACATATCATCTCCATCATCATACTCGTTCTAACAGTTATAACACCAACATACCTTCCTTCCTATTATTTGTATTATCCACATATCATCTCCATCATCATACTCGTTCTAACAGTTATAACACCAACATACCTTCCTTCCTATTATTTGTATTATCCACATATCATCTCCATCATCATACTCGTTCTAACAGTTATAACACCAACATACCTTCCTTCCTATTATTTGTATTATCCACATATCATCCCCACCATCATACTCGTTATAACATTTATAATACCTATCTACGTACCTACCTATTATTTGTATCATCCACATGCCATCCTCACGATCATACTCGTTTTAACACCCACCTACCTTCCTTCCTATTATTTATGTCATCCACATATCATCCCCGACATCATACTCGTTATAACATTTATAATACCCACCTACCTTCCTTCCTAACATTTGTATCATCCACCTATCATCCTCATCCTCATTCTCGTTATAACACCCACCTACCTTCCTTCCTATTATTTGTGTCATCCACATATCATCCACGACATCATACTCGTTATAACATTTATAATACCTACCTACCTACCTTCCTATTATTTGTATCATCCACATATCATCCCCACCATCATACTCGTTAAAACATTTATAATACCTACCTACCTACCTACCTATTATTTGTATCATCCACCTATCACCCTCATCCTCATTCTCGTTATAACACCCACCTACCTTCCTTCCTATTATTTGTATCATCCACCTATCACCATATCATCCTCACCAACATATACGTTAAAACATTTATAATACCTACCTTCCTACCTACCTACCTACCTCCCTACCTACCTATTATTTGTATCATCCACCTATCACCCACATCCTCATTCTCGTTATAACATTTATAATACCTATCTACTTCCC